TTTTTGGCGGCGTCCTGACCGGGGAGCCCTGAGTAATGTTTCACCATGAATTCTAATCACGGCCTTGTGGTCAAGGCATCATTAAACAATGGTTCGTTTGTAGAAATCACCACTCAGGAATGCATATTAAGAAACCCTGACTAAAACATCCAAATGAAGGAATCCTTACAAGGGACTCCTTGAAGAGGGTCCCGTACGCAAGATTCCTTACTGATGATTCCGTCATAAGGATCCCTCACGAATGGGTGCTTAGTCTGGATGCGCTAACAAGGATTCCTTAGGAAGGGCTCCCTAGTAAGGAATCCTTGCTAAGGGATGCTGCGTACGGGATCTCGGATAAGTAGTCTTTCATAACGACGTCGGGCTAGGGAACCTTCAGTGATTATTCCTTTGTCGCGCCTCGTTCGTAAGGACTCCGCCATAAGGGATCATTTGTAATGAGATCGTAATGCTGAGCCCTCAGGGCGAAGTCCTTCGTAAGGGACCCCGGACGAGGAACTGCCATTGAGGAGTCCCATTCACCAGGGAATCCATAGTATTGGGTCCTTAGTAGGGAATCTTTTCTAAGGAGTCCTTAGTAGAGAATCCTGTGAAAGTTTACTTTACTAGGGAACCCTTTTCTAAATGATTTTTTGATAGTGAGTCCTGACCACCCTCAGCACAGAATTCATATTAAGAAGTTCTGTGCAAGGAATCTTGGATAAGGGATCCTTAGAAATAGGAGCCCTTACTAAAGTGGTCTTCCTAGGGGATCTTTAGCAAGGTACTCGTAGTAAGGATTGCTTAGTCGGGTATCCTCAGTACGGGATTCCTATACACATGGATTCGTTTGTGGCGGCGGGGTGGGGGGTCTGGCGCTGGGGGAAGGATCCCAGTTGAAACATGGCCCCTCTCGATCAACTTGTCCCGCTCTTTTTGTATGTTTTTGGTGGTTGGTGTTTTTTCTTTCTTTTTCTGGGCCCGCGAACAAAAAGCGGGACCAGTGGTTCATGATGCCGTTTTCGTTGTTCTTGTGATCATCTTTTCCTGTGGCCAGACCCTCGCGGTCCGCCACAGAAGGAACCAAGTTGTATCCCCACACGCAAAGGGGATCACTTTGTACCCCCCACAAGGCGAGTCGATTGATCCCCCCCACAGCCAGAACGACGAAAGGGAACGACATTCATCTGAGCGTCCTCCAGAGGGGGAGGGAGAGAGAGAGAGAGAGAAGTAGAGATACAGAGAGAGAGAGAGAGAAAGAGCGCGAGAGAGAAGCAGACTGGACGGGGGAGAGAGAAGCATGAGGTGAAGAGTGAAGAGATAAATCGAGCGCCTCCGCCTCCATTCTTCGACGCATGGAAAGTAGGTGCACCGATATGCCTGCGCACTCATATCTATACATATATATATATGCAGATCTATGTATACATGTATGTCTATACATATATCGATATGTAGATATGCGTGTGCGTATCGCCTGAAATATTGTGCTATGGTTGTCTCCACACTCCCCTTGATGTATTGGTTTCCATGCGCATCGTAGCACACGTGTATCGAAACTGTTGTCTCGCGGTATGCCTGTCTGGCGAGGTGTGGAATTTGTTTGCGTCCATACGCCCTGCGGGGTATGTGCATGCACGCGTCCTGTATCATGTGCGTATCTGCACGTCCTGTGGTACATGTGTGTCCGAACGTTATGGTGTGTTGTTGCATCCACGCGCCTGGTGGTATGCATGTAGCTTGACCTCTTGATGGGTAGGTGTATCCAGTCTTTCTGAATTCATGCGGTGCCAGTCGCATTGTGGTACGTGTGTTTCAATACGCTGTGCGGTACACAGGTATCCAGACATTTTGTGGCGCAAGTGTATGCAATCGTATGTTGAACCATGTGTATCCAAGCGTCGTGTGCCATAGGTGTATCCCAGGCCTGTTATGGAGTATGTATATCCAGGCCTATTGCAGTACAGTTGTCTCCGAGCGCTTCGTAATATCTAAGACGCCTACGGCGAATCACTGCCGCCCCCTGCCCCTTTGGAAGCGCCTATGTGGCCGACAGCTGGGCTGTTGTTCCCCGAGTCGGTTGGGACGTCGTCCGGGAACGCGTGGGGGAGCAATAGGAGGAGGAGCAGGATAGGGAGGATTATGATGATTAGGATGAGGATTAGGATGAGGATGAGGATGAGGAGTAGGAGGAGGAGACTCCTTGGAAACTGTCTTGCGAGTCCTCTTGGGAGGCCTCGGCGGAGCTTCCTGGTAGCCTTTTGGAGGCCTCTTTGGGAGCCTCCCTGGGCCTCTTGGGGGCTTATTGGGGGCCTTTGGGTGCTTCTTGGGGGCCTCTTTGGCCGTCTTAGGGCATTCCCGACCCGTCTGACACCGTCGGAAGCCGTCTTGGGGACCTCTCGGAACCGACTTGTGGCTCGCTTGGGGCTTCAGGGCCGTCTTGGAGAGTAGGTTGGACGTCTTGGAGGTATCTTGGGGCCTTCTTGGGGCCCTCTTGGGGCCGTCTTGGGGGCCTCTTGGGCCGTCATGCGGCCATCTTGGAGCCCCCTTGGGCGATTTTGGGGCGACCTTGGGGGCCTCTTGGGCCGTCTTGGGCCGTCGGAAGGCCGACAAGGCGCACATATCAACGTCTTTTGAAGACCAAAGGAACATCAATGATTTTTGCCTCTTCGGGCCTTCCTGGAGGACCTTTTGGAACACTCTTGAACCGTCTTGGAGGCCTCTTGGAGGCCTCTTGGGCCATCTTGGGCCATGTTGAGGCCATCTTGGGCCGTCGTGGGTACATCTTTGGCCGTCTCAGCCATCTTGGATGCCATCTTGGCCGTCTTGGAGGCCTGTTAGGGCCCTCTGGGGGCCGTCTTGGAGGCCTCTTGTTGGGCCGTCATGCGGCCATCTTGGAGGCCTCGTGGGCGATCTTGGGGTGATCTTGGGGGCCTCTGGGCCGTCTTGAGCCGTCGGAATGCCGAACACGAGCAAATGCCACAATCCTTCAAACACCTAGGGACAATTCATGTTTTTGGTTTCTTCTGGTCCTCCTGGAGGGCTCTTGGGCCGTCATGGAGACCTCTTGGGGGCCTCTTGGGCAGTCTTGGGCCATCTTGAGGCCATCTTAGGCCGTCTTGGGTGCATATTGGGCCGTCTTGGTGGCATCTTGGGGCCATCGTAGTCGTTTTGGAGGCTATCTTGGCCGTCTTGGAGGCCTCTGAGGGCCCTCTTGGGGCTCTCTTTGGGCCATCTTGGGGGCCTCTTGGATCGTCCTGCGGCCATCTTGGAGGCTTCTTGGGCACTCTTGGGGCGCTCTTGATGAGCTCTTGGGCTGCCTTGGGCCGTCGGACGGCCGAACAGGAGCAACAGCCAACATCCTTCAACCACCTACGGAACAACAATTATTTTGACCTCTTCGGGACGTCCTGGAGGAACTCGTCGAGGCCTCTTGGGCCGTCTTGGCGGCCTCTTGGAGGCCTCTTGCGCCGTCTTGGGCCGTGTTAGGTGTTTCTTGTGCGAACTTGGAGGCATATTCGACTCTCTTGGGCCGTCTTCGAAGCCTTCTTGGATTATCTCGGACGAACTTGGAGGACATCTTGGGCCATCTTGACCATCTCGGAGGCCATCTTGAAGCCGTCTGGAGCCGACAAACCCTTTGCAACCACCTCTTACACATCTTCGGCGGGATGTGCCGAAACCACAGGGGGGGTTCTTTTGGAAAAGAACCAAAGCCAACAGCGACAAGGGTCTAGAACGCTGGACACCCTTGTGATGAATCAACAGGCCGCGGCTGATCGAAGGGCCTTCGGCCCATCCCGCCACTGTGCCGTGGTTGTGGGTCAGAGTTCGCAGGGTTGCTTCTTGGGGTCTCTTCGGAGCGCTCTCGGGGGCCTCTTTGGTGCAGTCTTGGGGCCTCTTGGGAGCCTCTTTGGGGCCTCTTGGGGGCCTGCTGGGCCTCTTGGTGGCCTCTTGGGCCATCTCGGTAGCCTCCTGGGGGCCTCTCGGGGCCTCCTGGGGGCCTCTCGGGGCCAAGGGCTCGAAACGTCTGTTCGGGTCCCCCATATGCCCCCCCCCCCCCTGGAGCCGTGTTTAGAACCTTTTGGGCCGTCTTGGGGGGCCCTGGGGCCGTCTTGGGGCCCTCTGAAGGGCCGTCTCAGGGCCCTCTGGAGGCCATCTTGGTCCGTCTTGGGGCGACCTTGAGGGCCTCGTGGGCCTTCCAAAGTCACGCGGGAAGCCGCGCCAAGCCCCCGACAATTGGTATCGTTTAACCAATCCCCATCCCCATCCCCATCCCCTTCCCCTTCGAGACCCCTGCCAAATTACCACCCCAGTTGGGGATACCTCCTCGAAGCTCCAAGGGAACGACCTATATCCCCATCTAGGGGGGTAAATCGGCCAGTGGGGCCTAGACCACGCCGCTGGGGATGGGGATCGGTTAAGCGATACTCAGACCAGCCGCGCCAAGCCCGAGAAGAGTTGGCGATTCGGGGCGCGGGCCCCCGAAGGGCATCCTCGGGAGAGGACTGGGCAAACACCCGGGGGCGCGCCCACTCCGTGCCCAGCGGCACGGTGGCGGATTTGTTTGCCAGCCCTCCTGGTAGATATTCCAGCATCAGCCGTTGAAACTTCAAAATTTGCTCGAAGGATTGGAAAATGAGGCCGCGTGGCCCGAGTGGAATGCTGGAGAGGCTCGCGCGAGGGCGGCCCGAGAAAGGGCGGCGCGATCATCGGCGTGCGCACCCCGCCCGACCGGTGGACCCTCACCCACCCGCCTCCGTACGTCCGGGCGTCACTATATTTCTGGACTTGTTTCGGTATTGGGGTTTCTCGACGTCCCATGGTAGCCATGATGATGGAGACAGACGTCTGGCAATCTTCTCACCGAGCCGTCTTTTACAGTTCCGGGGCCTTCGCAGGAGCACATTCCTTGGAGGCCGATCGCAGGAGCACAAACATCCGTCGTGATTCCTCCACGGCGTGAGGAAGTCGGGGTCGAATTTCGACCTCGTGGATCGTCGGGCCGCCCTCCGCCCCAGGTCCGCCAGCACTTCCTGCGGGAGAATGAGGACCTCCGAGGCCCGTTCGCGCACGCGGTGGGGAGGGAGGGCCTCGGCGCGCTGGAAGGGCAGGGCTCGTTTCGATTCCTCCGATTCGATTCGAGTTCGATGGTTTCCGATCCCGATTCGATTCGGCTTGGGATTTCGATGTGGGCTCCGATTTCTCATTGGAGGCCTACGAGCCTGCCGATTTTCGCCAATTCAACTTTTTTCTGACTCGGCTGCCGATTTCTGCCGATCCGATTCAGTTCGATCGCCGATCCGATGTATCGATTCGATTCTGGGCTCTCCTGGAAGGGCCCAACCATCTGCAATTGGGGGTACCGCGTTATGGATCCAGTTTTCGGTGGAGCCCTCGTATGGGGCCACGAAGCGTGTCAGGGGTGTGCCGAGATGCGGCGGGGCCGCCATGCGAACCCTGCCACTGCGCCTTCGGTGGAGCTCCCGATGGGGCCACGAAACGTGTGAGGGGTGTGCCGAAATGGGGCGGGGCCGCCATGCGAAGCCTGCCTCTGGGGCCTTCGGTGGAGCTCCCGATGGGGCCACAAAACGTGTGAGGGGTGTGCCGACATGGGGCGGGGCCGCCATGCGAAGCCTGCCACTGGCGCCTTCGGTGGAGCTCCCGATGGGGCCACGAAACGTGTGAGGGGTGTGCCGACTTGGGGCGGGGTCGCCATACGAAGCCTGCCTCTGGGGCCTTCGGTGGAGCTCCCTATGGGGCCACAAAACGTGTGAGGGGTGTGCCGACATGGGGCGGGGCCGCCATGCGAACCCTGCCACTGAGGTCTTCGGTGAAGCTCCCCTTGGGCCACTGCACGCGTGAGGGGTGCGCCGAATTGGAGCGGGGCCTCCATGCGAAGCCTGCCTCTGGGGCCTTCGGTGGAGCTCCGATGGGGCCACGAAACGTGTGAGGGGTGTGCCGACATGGGGCGGGGCTGCCATGCGAAGCCTGCCACTGGGGCTCCCTATGGGGCCACGTTTTGTGTGAGGGGTGCGCCGAAATAGGCCGAGCCGCCATGCGAAGCCTGCCACTGCGCCTTCGGTTGAGCTCCCGATAGGGCCACCAAACGTGTGAGGGGTGTGCCGACATGGGGCGAGGCCGCCATGCGAAGCCTGCCACTGGCGCCTTCGGTGGAGCTCCCTATGGGGCCACGAAGCGCTGCACTGGGCGTTAGGGAGGAGGGAGGGGGGGAGGAGGAGAGGAGAGGAGAGGAACGCGGGGCGCTGTCTTTTCAAAACGAGGACCCACTACCACAGGATGGTTGGGCAGACTGGATCGACCCACGAACCCTGCGAGGGAGATTGAAATGTGAAGCATGGAAATTGTTCTTGACACCGAGTTCGGGCTACGGGCAATTGCAATGCTCAAGGTATCGATGGTGAAGCACAGTGCCATAGGCTGGGTTGTGCTGTACTGTGATGAACTGGGACGCGCCATGCCGCGTTGCAGTGCTGGCAGAGCCCTGACATCCTCGCGCCGTGAACCACAAACGAGCACGGAAGGCTTCTTCATCGTAGGACCCTTTTCGGAGGTGGATAGACCTCCTATCCTGACGCGTCGATTAAGGAATTGGCCGTTTTCGGTTCGCGAGAAGGCGTCGCGGCCGTCATTTTTGCGGGTCCAGGTCCGCCGGTTTCGGTCCCAGGCCGTTTTCTTTCAGGGGAGGTTTATTAAAGGGAGGTTTGTTCACCGCAGGACCCTTTGCTGGGCCCTGGGGCCGTTCATACCTCGGCTCGGGACCACGAGAGCCCCCGTTCCCAGCAAGATGTGTCCGGGCTTCCGGGGAGGCACGCCTGCGAACGAAAAAACAGGGCGTGCTGCGTCAGGGGGCGACGGCTGGAGGAGGAGGAGCAGGCACGCATACCGCTACCCTTTGCCTGTTTTTTTTGTGTTTGGCCTCCTGGGAGGCCTTCGTCGCCACTGTTGGACTCGCCTCGGAATCCGGTTCAGGACGCACCCGGGGAGAGGTCCGGGGAGTAGCGACGTCGGTGCCTTTTGTTTCCCCAGGCACGTTGCCGAACGAACACGCGACGTGATCGCGGCGGCGACAGGGACGACGATGGTGAGGGCAGCAACGGACGCATCGGGCGGCCTCTGCGCCGCCGTTCAGGCAAGCTTCTCAAGTTCACCGAGACGTACGAGGCCCAGGAGCGCCAGAGAGTAGGAGGAGGCGATAGAGGAGAAGGGGCGGCAGGAGGAGTAGGAGGAGGAGGAGGGAGGGGGGAGGGCCACCGCTCTGCGGAGGACGGGAGGTCCGTAGCTCGAGGGGGGGAGGAGGAGGAGGAGGAGGAGGAGGAGGAGGAGGAGGAGGAGGAGGAACAGAGTAAACCCAAGAGTCATCAACGATGTTGGAATAAACCCTCCCTCCAAGCTCCCTCTTCATAGGCCTCTACAACGGTTCATTTCCATTGAAGGAACTGCTTCTTTGGGAGGCAATCGTTTGAAGACCCCGCAGATCAACCTGATTGTTGCGTCTCGGCGATCCAGAATCGTGCCAGAACGCCATTCCTGGGACTTCAAAACAGCGAATCAGCATAACTGTTGCACCCGCATAATCCAGAGTCCTTTCAACACACCGTTTCTGACGCGTTAATGATGGACACCTGTGAAACTCTGGCTGATTTTCGAAACGAATGTGCGCCGCGCTAAGGCGAGAGCCACATATTGAAATGGAACAACCCTCAATCCGTGAAGCTCGTGCAAATCGTTTAAAACGAAGAATGTGTGCCGCGCTGAGGCGAGAGTCACATGTTGAAAACTACCCGCCCTCAACCCGTGAACCTCTTGCAATGTTTTCAACCGAAAAAGTGCGCCGCGCAAAGGCGAGAGCCACATTTTGAAAACCACCCGCCCTCAATCCGCGAAACCTTTAAGCATTTGTTTTAACGACTGCGCGCCGCGCAAAGGCGAGAGCCACATTTGAAGACCACCCGCCCTCAATCCGTGAAACTTTTGTTGTATTGTTGATAACGAGTGTGCGCCGCGCTACGGTGAGAGCCGAAATTTGAAAACCACCCGCCCTCCATCTGTGAAGCTACTGCTAGTTTTTGAGCTTCAGAAGGCATAAATGGTGAGGAAGTCTCAGGCGAAACGCCCAGCCCGCCCTAAAAACTGGCTTCGGGGTGCGACAGGGTGCGTCGGGGTGCGACTGACGACGGGGAGAAGTTATTTAGAAGGAAAAGGAACGGGGGAGGAAGTTGTTGTGGGGCGACTTGGAGTCAGAAGAAAAAAAATATCACCCCTGTAGGAGCCGGAGGACCCCCCGTCCTCACACCCCTGGGGCGGCTTTCTCACGGCGTGGCCGAGCGCGGCCTCCGTGAGGTCGCTCCCCGGCAGGCCGAAGCCCCCGAAGACCGCCTCACTGGGCGCGAATGCTCGCGGGGCGCGCGCCCTTGCGGGCGCGGCGGCGGAGGCAGGACCCGAGGGCCGCGCGGAGACCACACGAGCTCGACAGAGACAGACCCTCCGACGAGGCACGGCCGCGTGGGTGCTTCCCTGCGCGAATGCTCTCGAGCTGGCTCTGGACCTGGGGAGTCCGAGGGCGGCCCCGGCGCCCCGCCCTGAGCAAGTTCCCTGGCCGGAGGTGCTCACAGCAGGTTCCGCACCCCTGACACACAAGACCACGAGAGCACCCCCGCGCGCGAGGGAGACTCGATCTCGCATCGCATCAGGGCGTGCCCGTTCAGGTAGAACGCTGGCGTTTCACGGCAGACCAAGCGAACCCTTCACCCCAGGAGCCTCCACCCCACCGCCCAGACCGTCCCCCTCAATCGGGACGCCTGGCTCGGGCTCAGGCTCTGGCGGCGGCCGCTCGACAGCAGCAGGCACAGCCTGGTGCTGCTCGGGGTCCAGGCCTGCAGTGTCCAGCCTGCAACCTTTCTCTGTGAACGACTGCAGATGGGCTTCTAGCTGGCCAGCCCAGCGGGCAGACGCCTGAGCAAGACACTTGAGCCCTCTATACAACTCCACGTCAGTCTCGCAGAACGAGTGCTTGGCAGCTCCCATCTTTGTATCTATGTCGGCTGAATCATTCGCCTTCTTTGCCCACAGCGTGGTCCTGCCATCGTGGGCATCTGACAGGGAGCAGTGAGCGGCCGTCTTCGCCGCCGTGATGCCCCCCGGACCGAAGCTAGACCAGAAGGGCGCCCAGAGATGGGCCCTGGAACCTCCCGCAGAGGCACCATACCCCACACCGCCCTGGAGGACATCCAGGGTGCCTAGGTAGTCGCAGTACACATCAGTCGGCGCCATGGCACACAGCGATGCAAGCCCCTTCCCTTACCTGACCACCGGACCTGACGCCGGCCCCGCTGCTGGTGGGCTCAGGTGGGGGAGAATGGCGGTGCCGGCGGGCTGCGGTGAGCGCTTGCGGCGCGATGGCTCTCAAAATGAAACTCCCGCGTGAGCGCCGGCCACATTTGAGGAAGTCGAGTGGCAGAAATATCTGTCGGAAACATAGCATCGCAAGCATTCGGCCCCACATGTCGCCAAGGTTGGGGGATGTTGCTTCGGTGACGACGGCGACGGCGACGACGACGACGACGACGGCGGCTGCGGCGGCAGCGTCGATGACGACGACGACGTCGGCGGCGGTGGCGGCGATGGCGGCGGCGGCGATGACGACGACGACGATGACGACGGCGACGGCGGTGGCGGCGACGACGACGGCGGCGGCGGCGACGACGACGACGACTACGACGACTTACGACTAACGACGACGGCGGCGGCGGCGTCATTGACGACGACGGCGGCGGCGACGACGACGGCGACGACAACGATCACGACCACGACGGCGGCGGCGACAGCACGGCGGCGGCGACGGCGACGACGGCGGCGGCTGCGGCGACGATGACGACGACAACAACGGCGGCGGCGACGATGACGGCGACCACTAACGACGACGACCAAGACGACGACAACTAACGACGAACGAGAAACGACGACGGCGGCGGCACGGCGGCAGCGTCGACGACAACGAGATGGCGGCGGCGACGACGAAGGCGACGACGACGACAACGACGGCGGTGACGGCGACGACGACGACGGTGGCAGCGGCGACGACGGCGGCGGCGGCGGCGAGGATGACGGCGACGACGACTAACGACGAACGACGACGCCGGCGGCGGCAACGACGACGATGACGACGGCGGTGGCGGCGACGGCGACGACAGAGGCGGCGGCGGCGACGACTACGACGACGACGACGGCCGCGGCGGCGGCGGCGTCGACCACGACGACGGTGGCGACGACGACCAATGACTAACGACGACGGCGGCGGCGGTCGCTGGAGCGACGACAACGACGATGACGACGACGACGATGAAAATGACGACGATAATGACGACGAAAACGAAGACGACAGCAGGAGTACGATTCGGAACGAGCGGTAGCCCGAAAGTGAGGCCAGCACTTCAGCGAGAGCAGCATTTTTGAAACCCAAGCGAAATCCCAACTCCAGGGAATCCTTTGTGTAAAAAAAAGTACGCGGAGGGGGGCATTCCCCGGACGCCACCAGGGGAGAGATGAGAGTAGTATTAATATTGTGACTTTGACGAGAGGGGGATCGCGCTCCTGCCCGAATCGTGCTCCGCACCAGCCACAACCTTCATTGGGATCTTCTGCCCGAGTGCAGGTTGCATTCCTGTCTGGGATTGGCTCTGTCGCCTTCGCGCTGGCCACATCCCTCTTTGGGAACGGTATTCTTGCCTCAACGCCGTCCTATCAATAATTGGCTATGATGCTGCCGCTCGAGCGCCAGCCACATTCCTGATTGGGACTGGTTCTCTCGCCCAAGCGCTGGCCACATCCCTCTCTAAGAGTGATGCTGTCGACTGCGCGCTGGCCGCATCCTTCATTGGGAACGGTACTCCCGCCTCAGCGCTGGCCACTTCCCTAATAGCGAACGGTACTCTCGCCTCAGCGTTGGGCGCGCTGGCCACATCCATTATTGGGAATTATTCTCTTGCCTCAGCGCCGACCCCATCCCTGATTGGCTATGGTGCTGCCGCTCGAGCGCCAGCCACATCCCTGATTGGGACTGCTCTCGCCCGAGCGCTGGCCACGCTCATGTGTAAGACGGGTGCTGCCGCTCGCGCGCTGGCCGCATCCTTCATTTGTCGGGTATGGTGCTGACGCTCGAGCGCCGGCCACGACCCTGATTGGGAGCGGTACTCTCGCCCGAACGGTGGGCGCGCGCCGGGCGAGCGCTGGCTGGGTGGTGTCAGGTCGGGTGTTGCTAGAAGTACCCACTGGCCCAAGGTGCCCCCAGGATTCTCCGTGTGTCGGAGGTGGATAGACCTCCTACCCTGACACGTCGATTGAGGAATTGGCCGTTTTCGGTTCGCGAGAGGGCGTCGCGGCCGTCATTTTGCGGGTCCAGGTCCGTCGGTTTCGGTCCCAGGCCGTTTACACTAAGAGGAGGTTTACTAAAGGGAGGTTTGTCCACCGCCGAGTGTGGCCCAGACGGCCTCTGGAGCACCCCTCATCAGGCCCAGAGGGCCCCAGGAGCCCCAACATGGAGCGAGAAGCTGGGGGCACCTTGGGCCAGAGGCACTTCTAGCAACACTCGAACAGGTTTGTTACTTGGCGTCAGGTTACGCTTAAAAGCTCCGGGTCCATTGCTGGCGGGGGCGGCGGCAGATCAGGGGCCCTGGCGTCAGGTTAGGGGGGGCTTGTAGCATAATCACAGCAAACATCCTCCCCATCCTTGGCCGACTGCCTGGGACAATGTGAGAAGGGAACTGGGCCGTAGCACGCTGCACATACACTGCCCAAAGTATCAACCTGCGCAAGGGCCCACCCCGTCCGAGATATCCTTGGGATTTCAGGCCAGGTGGCAGACCCGTCGGAACAAATAAGGCCAGAGAGGAGGCCTGACTCGGGCCGATTGATCCAGAAAGCCGTTTACTCGAGCTCCTGGGCAGGCATCAGGCCTAGAGGCGGAGGGAAGATGGCTCGCGCGAGACGCTCGGCGAGCTCTGGCCCTCCCACCACCTCCGGCTCGGGCGGAGGAGGCGGAGGAGGAGCGGGCTGCGGCTGGCTGGGCAGGCGAGGGGACAGGGATGGGGGACGAGGAGGGGAGGTGGCAAGGGAGGGAGGGCGAAGTGGGGCAGGAGGAGGAAGCGGAGGCGGAGGCGGAGGGGGGGGAT